GCCCCACGTGTGTCAAGCTGGGCCAGTGGGCCAGCACCCGCAGGGACCTCTTCTCGGAGGCCTTCTGTGATGAGTTCTCCAAGCTGCACGTCGAGGTGAGCCCGCACCCCTGGGGCCACACCGACGAGCTCTTGAGGAAGGCCTTCGGTGAGGGCTGGACGGGCTTCCTCAAGTTCCCGAGCCGGGAGCCGGTGGGCTCGGGCTGCGTTGCCCAGGTGTATAAAGCCTATGCTGACCTCGCCGCCATCGGCGGCTCCCGGGCCCAGGAGCTGGAGCAGCGCTCGGAGCTCAGGTCCGCCTTTGAAGCGTGGCAAGTGTCAGGCTTTAGAGGCCTCCTCGGGTGGCTGAGGAGGAGGAAGAGCAAGGAGATACGGGATGAGAGGAGCAGGGAGGAACTGAGTTCTGCAGGCTGCTCCCAGGGAAGTTCCGGGACTAGGATGTCCCTTATGGAGCAGAGGGCCAAGCCACTCCCGAACGCAGACCCGTCATCAGCCAGACATCTCGTGCCTGTAGCCATTAAAGTAAGTCCTGTGCAGAAATGGTAAAGGTATGAACATGGAGTGTGCTGGATGAGGTCCATCCCATGGAGAGGCATAGCTGGCCAGGGCCAGGTAGAACGAGGAGGGATGCTGTCTCTCCTGGTGTCCTTTATCAGTCCTTTTGTTCCAACCTGCCACAATCCCCAGCTCTTGCCAAACGGAGAGCTCAAGATTTGATGTCGCATGTGGCTACTAGGAATGCCTCCAAGGGCCCAATTTGCATTAAACTAATTAGCATTAAGGTTGCTTGCACCTTCCAGACAGCAAACCTCCTTCTCTGCTCACATGAAGAAATCTGGAATGTATAAGTGCATTCCAGCAAAGTTTATTTAAAGAAACTTTATATTTGAGCAGCTTCAAATACTAGTTAGGGACAGGGCAAGACTGAAAGCGGTGCAAAATGTCTTTGGGTGAGACTGTAGCCTCCAGCACTGATACACTGAATTTGACAATGATAAAATGTTTCTCTATGACCTAATCAATGGCAAAATGGGAATTCTTCTGAGGACTAGCCAGGGAAGCTGGTTGCCTCCTATCCCAATAAACTGGGTTCTGTACGTTTGAAATGTATCACTTGAGCTCATTGCAATGGAGTGTCTGGGGAGCTGATGTTGCCACTGCTGGTTCTTGTGCAGGTGCTGCACCCTGGGCTGGTCCACCAAGTGCAGATGGATCTGTTTCTCATGAAGATGGGCAGCCGCATCATTGGACTCCTCCCCGGGTTCAAGTGGCTCAGTTTGACAGAGATTGTGGAGGAGTTTGAGAAGCTTATGATGCAGCAGGTATGTGCCAGGCCATGGTCCCCAGCTAAACAAAACTGCCCTTTGTCTTGCTCTGGCTGCCCCTAACTCTGTTCACACCACTACATTTAAAATTGGTTAGGTGAAGGCTGGCTTGTTCTTTACTTCTGTTCTTTAGTCTAATCAAATCACATAACATTACTCTAGGAAAGCTTATGTGCTCACAAAGTAGCAAAGCAATGAAAAAAAACATCTTTACTAGATCTAAAATTATTTTTTAGACTTTGAGAATAATGTTTAGACTTTGAATGTGTTTTCTAATGGACAGCCTGAACAGCTAGCTAGCTATAGTCAGAGTCCTTTTTGCAGCATTGTGAAAGGTGAACCCTGGAGAGACACCTCTCCTTAGGAAAGAATCTCCAAGCAAGTACTCAGGCATGTGGGTTTTTTCTGTAATTCTACATATGTGTTTGCAGTCTGTACTCACTAGTCATGTTTGTTAGCACTAAGATATATATATATATATAGGCATAAATAATGTTTCCACACATTCTCCTCTGTATTATTATCAGACTCATAGTGTCAGTACAATTTTTTAAAAAGGTCTGAAAACATCCTGATTGACTAATGTCTTCTAAAGACACACTCCTGGAACATTGTTACTGTTAAACTTACAAAGATCTCACTGCAGGCTTAATTAGGCTTATGTTTCTATGAAATGAGCCATTATCTGCTAATTTCATTTTTGTGTCTAGTTTGCAATGTCTGAAGTTTGTAACAAGCTTTTGAAAACCTTAATTATTCTCTACAATTGCAAAACCTCTGCACAGTAAATCCATGCTGGGAACTGTTACTGTGGTCAGATGTGATTCGAGGTCATTCATACCTGTTTGGCAGAGCTTGGGTGGATGTGCAGAAGACTGAGAGTTAGGAGAACATCTGATAGGCTCATTGTGGCTTTTTCCCTTTGAATGAACAGGAAATATTCCTGGGGTATTCCTCACTGCCAGAAAAGGGAGGTGAGGCAAGGTTATCCTGCCTCCTTGAGCTGTGGCAGACAGTAGGAGAGATGCTTTTGTGTCAAGACACTGGATCACTGAAGAACCTGGGCCTGGACTTGGCATAGTGGATTATTTTGTATGAATTACATTAAATTTCTTCCTGCTACAGCTGCCTCTCTGTCAAGTGAGGTTGTGGCTGCAGTTCTTTTACCCTGTCTGCCTGCCTTGCTGTTTGGACAGCAAGCTTCCATTCAGGATAGGATTCAGTTCAGGATCTTCTTGTATTTTTGAATGTAACGTGGTCCTGGTCTATTTTGAGACACCATGCCTCTAGTAAGGCACCAGTATGTCAGAGTTTGGAACCTGGCTGGGCACCATCCATTACCCAGTCTGCTCCTCTTCCATCTGGAGCCTATGAGCCTGCAACCACTCTTACTTTGCTTCCATTCTGGCTTTCTGACTGGTTTTGTTGGTACTGAGTATTGCAACTCACACAGGCTCCTGAAGATCTAATCCCAGCTGATTCTCCTTTCCAACTTGCTTTTCTGTTTGTCCCTTGAGATTGACTTACGCTACGAAGCCAGAAATCTGGAGCGCTTCCGACAGAATTTCCTAGATGTCGATTTTGTGAAGTTTCCAACTCCCCTTTGGCCCTTGGTAACAGCAGATGTTCTAGTGGAAACATTTGAGGTAAGAATTGCAGGGTGTGGGGGCAATGGTAGCAGTGAGAAAACCCCAAGGAGACCATGGCAAGGAGGTGTTTCTTTTTGAGAAGGAGGAATCAGAGGCAGAAGGATGCTTTTTTTTCTTATTTGCTTAAGAAGATTGATGTCCTTCCTTAGTGTCTCTTCCACTCTTTTGTTTGCAAGCAGTGCATCCCTAAAGACAGGTAGCAGACAACTCTGTATAGAAGTGATCACTTGGCCTGAAAGCAGGCAGACTAGCAGTGGGTGCAGCCCCCTGTGCTTTGCAAACCAACACCACACTTCACCTCTCCTCTGTGCTGGGTCAAAGCAAGGAGCTCAGCAATCTGACACTTTTTGATCCCTGCCTCACTTCCCTTGTGGATGTTTGAGTCACAGACCAAAGCCACTCTCAGGCTTAGTTTTCCTGCATGTGATCCTGGCAAGGGTGTTTCTACCCCTGGAATACCATCTGTCTTTCCAAGAAGCAAACCCTTGGTTCTGTCATGTTCTCCATCACACTAGGTACAGGCTCTTTCTGCCAAGTCCTTTCTAGGGTATCATCATCACCTTCCCCATGTGGGGAAGGTGGCACCCAGGTGGGAAGGTGGGATGTTTGAAGGATGCAGGGGGTGTTTGACTCCAGCTCTGTCTCTGTTTCAGGAGAGTGAGCCCATCTCACACTACCTGCACGTGGGGATCGGCACGGAGCTGCGGCAGAGGCTGGCCAGGATGGGCATGGACATGCTGCTAAAGATGGTAGGCACCTGCCTGGGGCTGCAAGAGAAGGCTGTTTTCCTGCAGAAGCTATTCAGTTTGGATAATCAGACAATGTGGCTAAAGAGAGAACCCATTTGCTTCCTAGCTGAACCTAGTCTGGGTAAAACCTGGGGTGGACTCAGGCCTGCTTAGGCTCTGACACAGAGCTCTGCCACTGCAGGCAGCACACAGTAGGACTGGCCTGTGCACCTTGGTCAGCCTTTGCTCAGGACACCCACTAATCCACTTAATGAATATTCACCTATTACCCAAGTACCTTCAAGTGCACCATTATTAGCAAATGCCATGTGCTCAGCAGAGACTGTGGATGTGACTCAGAGGGAAAACAATGAGCTGATTTCTTAATTTATCGACTCCTCTAAAACTGCCTTTTTGTTAGGGAGAACTAAATCTGGAGTCAAGATTTACAAACGTAGCCAAGTTCAGCTTCTGGCTATCTAGTTCTTCTGTGGCTGAAATAATCCCAAATAGTCTGGAAAGGAGTGTTGAGAGGGTGGTACAAGTGTCTTGTGAGGGGCTGTGAGAACCAGCAGGGAAGAGTTGCAAAGGCTCCTGACAGTACTGAGTGTGTGGGCAGTGCATGTCAGAGGAAATGCTGCTGCTAACTGCAGCAGTGTGCTAGGGCAATAGTGAACCTCCAGTTCTGGCTCCAGGTAGTATGACAGGCTCTGAAATAGCTTTTACCACTCAGAAGAGCAATGCTGGAACTAGAATAGTTTTATGCTAAGATTGGTTTCAAATTTTAGGAGTAGGAAAGAATTAGAGGGCAGAAACAACTTTATGTCTATAAGCAAAACAAATAATTCTTTCTCAAGTACTCTGCAGTTCTAGTCCCTTGGTGCCCAGGACCCTCTGTTTCAAGGGCTGTAGTAGAACTAGAAGAGGTGCAGAAGGCAGATAAATGATTACTCATGTGGAATGGCTTCCATACCAGAATGGTGAAATAATTTGGACTCTTAAATCTGGAAAGCAGAAAGATGAGTAGCTTATGTCAGACATTATGCAGTCATGAGTGCACAAGAATGAATGTGGATCTATTGTGTAGGGTTTCTCAATAAGGAGGACCTAACATAGGCAGAAGTAATTTTTTTCAGGCAACAGCAAAACCATATTTTTTCACACAGCTCTAATTATTTACATGGCAGTTGAACAAATTGCTAGGAGAAATCCATGAAATACAAAGCTAATCTCCTTGGGACAGGAAGTCCTGCAGTCCCAGGTCACCAGGAGGGTTGGGGCAGGGGAAGTACTGTTTGGTTCTTGTCCCCTTGCCAGTCCTTTTTGGTGCTAACTGCTAGCAGAGTCAGAGAAAAGCTACAGAGATTTATTTCCTCTTCTCTTGTTTTCCTTACATTTCAATAGAGTTGTAATGTGGGTGGTGTCATGCACTAGACAAACGTACCCATTCACTGTAACCTTTGTCACTGAATGGCAAACAGCCTATTCTTACTGCATTGCCCTTTGCTAAGGCCCACCAGTGTGCCCCAGTTTAGGGCAAATTGCCAAAGGGCAGTGCCATTCCCTGCTGGGACTCCTGGCTGTCCTGCCTGACCTCTAGCAAACACTGGATTGCTTCACACAGCTCTGCTGACTTCCCGAGTACCTGAGCTGGTCTCCAGCAGAAGCCACCTGCTGTGGTGCTGCCCCATCACTGGTAATGACAGAGAACAGACGACAAACAACCCTCTGCCCTTTGCCTGGGGGCTTTTGGCATCACCAGGTTTGCTTGGAACGAGCTGCTCTCACAATTACCTGTCCTCCAGATCTTTGTTGACAACTTTGTCCACGCCGACCTGCATCCCGGGAACATCCTGGTTCAGGGCAGCGCCCGCCCAGAGCTGTGTGACAGCCGGGTGCCAGAGCTGTGTGACAGCCAGGTGCTGGAGGTGCAGCCAGCCCTGCAGCAGCTGTGCCTGGTGCTGCTGGACGCAGGGATCGTGGCGGAGCTGCAGAGTGCCGACATGCAGAACTTCCGTGCCGTGTTCACGGCTGTGGTCCAGGGACAGGTGAGGCCCCTCTCCGGCATGGGGCTGGCTGGGGAAGGGAGGTGGCTGTGCAATCTGATGGCCAAAGTGACAGTTTTCTATTTGCCCTTGAAAGGAGCCTTGCTAGCATCTTATCCTCAAACACAGGGATAAGTTGTTCAGCTGCAGCAAGGAGGCTGCCAGAGTGGAGCAATTTCAGTGCCCCAGGAACTAGGAGGTGCTAAATGGGAGGTATTGGCTGCCCCTTCCTGGTTAGGAGTACTTCTGCTGCAAGTTAGGACTGCCTGGGAGCCCCTGTTGCAGGATCTCTCAGGTTTTGCTACAGAAGAGGGGGGAATGGGTTCACATCTTGATCTGCCCCACATGTTCCTCTCTGCAGCCTTGCTGCTGCAAGGCCCATATGCCTTCCTCCATTCTGCTGTTGTGTCACCATCTATAGAGGAGAGGAAGGAAAACAGGTGTGTGGAGGGGTCTGACCTCTGCTGGGCCCCTCCATGTGAGGAGAACTACATAATCGTCCTCCCCCCTTGAAACTCACTGTCAGATGGACTGGAGAACCCAGTGCTGGTGTCTCCTGTTCATTCTGGAACAAGCATTGTGCTCCCACTTGCCTGTTGCTGTCTCTCAGCTGCAGGGTGAAGGGCTCACTAACACAGCTCAAGAGGGACACGTTCTGTCTCGGTCTGCTGAAGCTTGCCAAAGAATCCCTGCTAAACCTGTGTCCAGGCCCATCCTGTGCTGCCAGGGACACCTCTCAGCTAACAAAAGCAAGAACTGCAAGCATCTCATTGCAAGTCACCAGTGACCAGGTCCTGGTTGTGCTGTTTTTTCTCAGGGGGAGAGGGTGGCAGAGCTGATCCTGCACCATGCCCGTGCCAACCAGTGCCAGGACATCGAGCGCTTCAAGGCTGAGATGGCAGAGCTTGTGACCAAGGTCCGGGGGAACACCATTGCCCTGGGCAAGGCAAGTGCACCCTGTCACAGTCCCACTTACCTGCAGTTCAGCACTGAAAACTGAAACAAAAAAGGTTTTTGATCAGCTGTTAAAATTCTCCTTGTGTATTGCAGCTTCAGGTGGGAAATCTCCTCTCCAGTGTCTTCAAACTACTGATGACCCATAAGGTGAGGTCCTGTCCCTGTCTGCCTTTAATAGCTGGAAGTTCATCTGGGGAGGGAGAACTGCTGGGAGCACACAAGGGGCTAACAAGGAAGGGGACTGACTTCTGAAACAAACTGCTAGGAGAGGAACAGCAGGAATGCATCCAAGTGTTGCAGGCATGCTGTTTCTCAGGTCTTATATGCACTCTGCCAAGCCCAATTTCTGTTTTGGTTTTTTTGGGGTGGGTGTTTTTGTTTTTTTTTTGTCTCAATACTTCATATAATGGTTGATACTAAAAGGAGTATTTTTGTAACACATAGTTTTTCCTACCTTTTTTATAGTCCCTTAGACTATAGAAACCTCCTTATAACTGATTATTTGGGGGACAAATTTCCACAGCTGCAAACAACTTTGGAAATCAAAAGACCTGTGGTGGCTTGAACTGGGGTTGTGAGCCACAGTCCAACTGGTGGAGTTGCATTATAGTTCCAGGTGTGCAAATGCTCCCCAGCCTTCCCTTCCCTTCCAGCTTAGGCAGAGCTGGTACCTTGGTTGAAGGGGTGCAGAAGACAATAATATCCACTGAGTCCATCCAGTCTGTTGTGGTTCCAGGTGAAGCTCGAGAGCAATTTTGCTTCCATCATCTTTGCCATCATGGTTCTGGAAGGACTGGGACGTTCACTGGACCCTGAACTGGACATCCTGGAGGCAGCCAAGCCACTGCTCATCAAAACCGCAGCTTCTGCCCTCAGATAGACTCCTGTGGCTGCTGCCCTCTCCCTGTGGTGGGGATTTCCCTGTGCTGTGCTGCCTGGGAGCTGCCACGGAGGAGGCTGAAGGTGAGAAGTCACAGGTTCCCAGGGATGTGGCTGCTCTCCACTAACGCTGCCTGCAGTCATTTCAGCCGAGCATGGGATGATCAGAAGGTCTATTCTGGGATGATCAGAAGGTCTATTCCAGAAAGCAGGAAGAATTTGCACAATTGGACATTTCCCACTCATTGCATAGGTCTAAGAGCTAATGTGCTCTGGTAGTTTTTAAAAGCATCTTCAGAAAGATGTTAACTGATCAAGTCTGTTTTAAAATACATCAGGTTAAATATTTAATTTACTGACTTACCTGCACTGTGGTATGAGAAATTATGTTCTAGCATCTAAGCAGCACATTCAGGCTGAAAAAGGCCAATAAACCTGTTTGTCTTTTGTACTTTTAACTTCTACTTTTATTGTAGAAGTGTCCTAACATCCTGCATGTAGTGGTCTGCTCTTAGTCATTTTGGATGACAAAACCAGACCATTTAAATTTTTTCTCAAACTTCTGTACTCTAGTACATTAAAATAGGAGTTTGAATTATAAACAGCATAATAAAATATCTACCTAGGCAGAAAAACCTAATTCCATAATAAAAAACAACTTCTGGGAATATTTGTCCTGGTCTTAATTTTTCTGTTTCTGAAACTTAAGAGGTTTCTTTGTTCTGCTCTGTGTGATTTTCTCTACTACCCTTGCTGGTCCTTCCCACTCTACTCAAAACCTTCACTGATATGCAGATACTTAGGGTTTTTTTCCCAGCAGGTTTCAAACCAGAGCCCAAGGATTTTCCTGATGGATCAAAACCACACTGCAAATGTTTAAAATCAAATAAAGCTAGCAGAAGAGCTGGATTACACGTGGCATTTACAGTCAATTATTTTAATAGCAGTATTAAAATGATTTTATGGCTGCATTTTAATAGTGAGAAATACAGTCTATGAATGATTGGAAATAATGAGGTACTGAATATATTCCCAGACCTACCCTGTGTGAAACAGCAGTAGAGCAGGGTCTCTGCAGTAGTGTCTTCTCAGGTGGTTAAGCAATGAAGAGAAAGTGCATAAGCAGACAATCTGCTGTTTTATGGTGATTATAAAGCAATGATTGATAGCATATAAATGAAGTCTGAAAAATAAGTTTAGATTCAGCTCAGTATATTTCATATACTTTCCTTTAATCACTGCATATTCCATTTCCAAGTGCATAAGGATAAAAGCAGGAGCAGAATTTAACACCTTGTAAGTTTTAGGCTTGTTTCTTTAACTCTAGTTAAGAGTCATAAGCAGGCAGAGCATCATCCTAACCAGCACAAGATTTTATGTAAAAGAGAACTCAAACAAGAGGAGAAGCCAGCAAACCCCCCAAACATTACCCTGAAGAAAATCTCCATGTGCCAGCAGCACCACATTCCCTCAGCAGGGTGTGTGCCAGGTCTGGGGCACAGCCATCCATGTTCCTGCTGAGCAAATTCCAGCCAACTTTCCCAGACACTCAACAGAGTGGAAACTGTTCCAAATGATGGGATTTCAGGTCTAAAACACAAAACTGTGCCTCACACGTAGTTTCCATAATCTGAAGCAAGTTACATTTTTTCAGACCTTAACATTTTGTTTGTTAAAGCCTTCACCTTCTATTTAAGTTCATCTTTCCCCTTTCTTTTCCTTTAAGCAAAAATCTTAGGATGGCTCACGCATGTACATTATGGATCCTAAAGTTTAAAAATACCCATTTTAGCTATTAAGGTCTCAGAATAGTTTGTAAACATCTGGATGAGAGACCTAACTTGGTCTTTTTAGGGAAAAGCTGAAGGCATAGCCTCTCTATTATCCCTGGAGGAATGCAGTCTGACACTGCTTGGCAACTGCTGGCCATTCAGATTTGGCAGGATTTCAAAGGAGCTCCCTTTTACAAGTTTTCTTCATTTTACTTTTTTCTTTGTTTTTTTTTTTTTTTTTAAGAAACTGCCATTATCACTGTTGCTATATTCTAGAAGGAGGCATAAATTTTTATAATGTGCCAGAAAATGTGTAGCATGTTTCTAAGTGTATACAGAATGTCAGGCCAAATTTAAATTTTGTATCTGGTTTGGTTCTAGGCATTACTTGAAATAAGGTATCACATATATTGTATTCATTTCAGCATAACTCTGTGTAAAATAAGGATATTTCCATATATCTCTGACTGTTTCAGCAAATAAATTGTGCTATGCCCCATTCTCCTTTCCTAAATACCCCTCTGAAATTTCTGGTTACCCAGAGCTGATCATATATATGATCATATATTTACATACATTGTAATTTAGCATAATTCTTTGTAAAATAAAGATATTTCCATATAGCTCTGGCTGTTTCAGCAAATAAATTGTGCCATGTCCATTCTCCTTCCCTAAATACCTGGCTGAAATTTCTGGGTACCCAGAGCTGATCAGTGCATTTCCTGTGGCACAGCCACAGGGAATTTTGTACCTCAGATGAAGTGAGGAAGAGGGAACACTTCAGGATGTGACAAGCTTAACCTCCTTCTCCTCTCCTTGGGCACCTCCACTCCCCACAGTGCAATGCACTAAAACCCCTCCTTTCTGATGCAGAAAGTGCCTCTAGATGTGCCCTGCTGCTCCCTCTCAGGGAGAAAGGCAGGTGAAGGACAGAGCAGTGGAAGTGCACTCTGGCTGCAGTGAAAGGGAGATTAGAGACCTCTCCAGGAATCCAAATGCCACCTGTCACACTCTGCTCTGGCACACTGACTCACAGGTGCCACAGCAGGCCCTGCTCACCCTCTGTGCAGCTTCCTTACTCGAGCAGGGATGCCCGGAGCAGCAGGAGCTTCTGTTCCCTGAGGTACTGCTGGAGAGCACGGAGCTTCTGGCCTTCTTTCTCCATCTTCAGATGAGAACTCTCTCTCCTCTGGAACACTCTCACTTTGGCAGCCTGGTGTTGGTTTTGCTGTTTGTCCTGCTCCTGGGATTCTTGTTCCAGCACTTCCTGCCGTGACTGCATTCTGCTCCTCAGCAACTCCTACACAAAGACATTCAGAACGGTACAGGCAGCCTTCATGCCAAATTTCATCCTCACTCTTCATCTCTGCCTAGCTCTGGGGCCTCCAGCATGGACATGGATCCGCTGGAGTGAGTCCAGGGGAGGATCACAAAGATGTTCAGAGGGCTGGAGCACCTCTGTATAGAGCCAGGCTGAGAGCTGGGCTTGTTCAGCCTGGGGAAGAGAAGGCTCTGGGGAGCTCTTGGAGCACCTTCCAATGCCTAAAGCTGGAGAGGGACTTTTTACAAGGTGTGGAGTGATGGGACAAGGGGTAATGGCTTTAAACTGAAAAAGAGTAGATTTAGATCAGATATTAGGAATAAATTCTTTCCTGTGGGGATGGAGAGGCACTGGCACAGGTTGCCCAGAGCAGCTGTGGATGCCCCATCCCTGGCAGGCTGGACAGGGGGTTCTGAGGGTTCTGAGCAGTCTGGTCTAGTGGAAGGTGTCCCTGCCCATGGCAGGGGAGTCGGGACTAGATGAACACAATCCAGATCATCCTACAGTACTATGATTCTCATTAGTCAGAAATGGATATAATCCATGGAAATTCATTTCTTGCATGCAGAAAGACTTCTTTTGTGGCAGAGATAAGGAATTTTACTTTCCACTTTTCATCTTTATACACATGCCAAAAAAGGTTACCCCTTTTTATCTCTAAATGATACAGTTATACTGCATGTAAAACAGGTGAAATATACAAATACTCCAGATATTTGTATATACACTTCCACTGCTGGAAACATGGCAGAAGAAGAAAATAACATCTGGAACTGCCCTTACCAGCCTTTCTTTCTCTTGTTCCCAGCTCCTGTTGTTGCTTTCTGCCTGCAGCTCCTCTCTCTGCAAACACCGCGTCTTTCGGAGCTGAAGCCTCTGCCTTGCCTTCCTCTCCTCCTCCTCCTCCTCTGGAAAGCAGGATTCCTTCCTGCTCCTCTCAGCCCCAGCAGCCTGGAGCAGTGCCATGTGCTGCAAAGCTCTCTCTTTGTGCTCCAGCTGTTTCTCCAGCCCTTGCAATGTTCTCTGACGCAATCGCTGCCTGTTTCCAAAACAAAATTTCTAAAATTTCTCATAAAGAAAGAGCAATAAAAAAGAAAGACAGTGCATAAGACACAAAGCAGATATTTTGGCAATCTGTGTTCAGTTAACATTCCAGGACTCTTTGTTAGGTTATGAGGATTAAACCTGTGTCCAGGACAGAGGTAGCAAAAGCCCCAAACAGGCTGGGTCTGATGTCAGCACTTTTGGCCTGAGAGCAAGACTGAAGGGAATTTGCCCTTGCAGATAATGCTGTGTACCCACCCCTCACACCTCCAGCACCAACTGCATTCCCAGCAGGGATCCACTGTGACCCCTGTGCAGAGCCCAGCAAAAAGCACCAGGTGGGATGTGCAGGGGCTGAAGGAGAGCAGCAGGGAGCAGATGTTACCAACCTTCCAACCTCTAGCACAAAAAGCAGTCAGTGCCCAGCATCACCTCTGGCTGTCCCTGCCATCTGCCTCTTGCTGCTGCTCCCTCTTCAGCTGCCTCTGTTCCTCTTGCCACCTTCTGTGCTCAGTCTTGGCTCTGCTGAAGTCCAGCTCCTTCCACCTCTTCTGAGATGCACCACTAGGGATTGATTTCTGTGAGATAAAATGCAAACTGAACCCTTAGTCCCAGCAGTGTATTTTTCTAATGCACACAGTAAGCACACAAAACCAGAACAGCCCAGTTTTAATGCCATTCCTGAGGCCTAGAAGCTACAAAGGCTCACAAATACTGTAGTGATGATTCCCATCCATAAAAGTACTGAGGATGATGCTAAAACCTATAGAAAACAATAGGCTTAATCAACAAACAGGTGCCTGAAAATCCAGTCCTAAGAGTTCTCCACAGGTCAGTAGGTTGTGCTGTTCTGTGTTGAGCCAGTGCTTAAAACTCCCCAGTTTTTGGGTCAATTTCTAGTTTGGATGGAAAATCCAGGTTCTGACCATAAAACATTATAAATTCCTTACTAGATTTTATTAGCAAGAGAAATACCTGCCCCCATCTGGCCAAACCCAGAACATTCCTGAATTCTCTGCAGGTATTCCAACTCTTCACCTTTTGTTGTCTGAGATTTCTACCCATGTTCAAGCAGTTTTGTGTTTCTTCAGCAGTAGCTTCATTTCAGTGCTGTAGTGCTGCTGATCTGTGTTTTTAAATACACTTTACCATGCACAAAGAGGAAGGAGCACCCACAAGACCTCTCTTCACAGCCATAGTGAAATATTTATTGGTTTTTGTACTCCTTACAGTGCCCTTTATGAGGAAAGTGCAAGCAAACACCACCAGACCTTTAGACATGTATTCCAGTTTACATTGCTAGAACTGTGTGGAGCTGGCACAGAGTTCCCCCAAAATATTTCCCTCTGTCAAATGCATCTTCCATCCTCCTATTCCCAAGAGCAGTCAGCATGTTTCTGCCATCAGCTGCTCCTCTGCAAACAGAATGTCTCCTTCCAGGGCTTTCCTGGGGACAACTCAAATACCACAACCTGGAAAACACTACAGGACTTTCAAATAATGTTCCTGCCAGTCTTACACAGCCTTTTGACTGGTTTCTCTTAACACATTGATCTGTAAGGCTTCCCAGGGGCTGTAAACAGCTTTGTTCTCCAGTATATTGCTATTCTTAGCAAAAAAATGTACCTCGTGGGTGTGTTTAATGACACGCACAAGGAGAGATCAAAGAAAGAATCAAAGGTGTTTTGTAGGTGGGAGGTGAACAAATGATGTTTTCCAGCAGGTAAAGTACCACCCTAAGGATCAGGAGACTTCCAGTTCCACCCCTGCCCTAACATGCACTCTTTGTTGTGGGCCTCAGATGCCTGCCTAAAATTTCTCTTTTTTGCTTTCAGTATCTGTAAAAGAGGAGGTTTTTTTTTTTTTTTACTATCTAGTAGAGCTGGCTGAGAAGCTTATTTAGAAGGGATTAGATCTAACATACAAAAACACTCTGCCAAAAGTGCTGAGCAAAAATACCACAAGTGCCCTGTCCTGCACAATGTGGGCTCCCAAGTGGAGTCCTTAAATTTCTATTTATGCATAACCATTATTCTACACAGGCATAATTTCTGTTGCAGCAAAAACCTTTGTGGAAGATCAAAGGAGAGAACATTCTCACATGACATAAACAAATCTCCTCATCCTAAGAACTAAACCTCAATACTCACTGTGATGCTTTTGTCTTTCAGAAGCTTTGGGAGATGTGTGGCTCTCCCAGCCAGCAGGGGGGTGGCACTGTGGGGTCTCTGCCCACAAAGAGCTGATCTGATGGTCAGGCTGTCTTTCTCCAGTGACTGATTCACCTGGGCAAAGAAGCTCTGGCACCTGAAAGGAACCAAAGCACTGCTTCCCATGGAAGGGCTCTTCTGGGAATGCTGGACTGGAGCATGTGCCTCTCTGGACTCAAAAAAGCCTTTCAAATAAATAGGGCAAGGACATATGAGAATATGGGAAGCTTATAAAAAGAAATCAAATTAAAAGAACAAAAGGTCTGCTCATATGAAATATATTCAAGCAAGGATTCAATAACATTTTCCTATAAGGAAGTGGGCCAGTTTTTAGTCTTCACAAAAGAGGTTCCAGCTTTTCAGAAACAAGCTTGCCATTGCATTTAGGCTAGAGGTTTGGCCTGGGAAACTGAGTTTTGCCTGGTGCTTCTTACAGCTACTCAGGCTAAAGGATTGTTTATCCCACAGACTGCCATGAACTGCTCTGAGTAAAAATGATAAAGCTTTTGATAGGGCAATGCCTGAGCTCCACATCCTGCTGAGAGACAGGAGACATTAGCATGGGCAGAGCCCTGCTAACAGAGCTTTTGGGTAAGTGAGAACAGGAGCAGAGTTTGCTCACACCCTCCTGCTAAGGACAGGGCAGCCCTGAGAGGCAGCTGCTGCATGGAATGGTGCTGGAACACCAGCTGGGAGCAATGTGCACTTCTGTTTGACTTTTCATTCTCCCTCTTCCAGCAGTGTTACAAAGCAATAAAAAAGAAAGCTTCAGGCTTTCAGATCCTCTCTTAGATGTCTGCAATTGTCACAAAGCTGAGAACAGCAACAAATGGATCAAAATCATGATCCAGTCCCTTTTGGCTGTTCAAGGAACAAAATTCCATTCAGTGACATTATAAAACAATACTTTTCAGCACAGATAAGAATATTGTTTTGCAGAAAAGTCCTGGTGAAATTTTGTTGCTATACACAGTTACTGTTAGTGTTAAAGATTAATTTTGAAAGTAAGGAATTTTTTATTTATACTGAGCTCTATGATATAGGTTAAAAACCACCAAAAGCTGCTACTGCAGTAGCTGAGCTGTAAAAACCAAAAAATCTCAAGTTCCATCTGAAAATTCTTTCACTTTGAGAGAAGATGAATAATTTCTCAAGCCATAGCACCATTAATACCTATATATAAAGATGGCACTATGGTATTTCTTTGTAAAGCACCAAGAATTATGGTGACAGATCTTTTACATGATGCCATCCTGCACTGATATTATGTGCTAAGTCTTATGTTAGGGTAAAAGAGTTACAGTTTCAATACCATGCTCATGTTCAAAATTAGCTTCAGTTTCAGCATCCTGCTGTCTGCTCTCTGCTTCCTCCTTGTGATCTGTCTCCATTAACCAGCTGTCTGTGTTGACAGCAGCATCCACCACAGCACGAGCCATCTCCCTCTGAGGGGCCTAGAAAGAACAAGAAATGCAACCATAATCCAGACCTGATAAGGAAAAGAATAGGTTTATTTAATGAGTTTACAGCATAAGATCTTAAATTGTAACTGAAGTTTAAGAGAGAATGAAGAAAAAATGAATTCTGAAAGACAGGCCTGCTCCTGGCATGTGCCAGAATTTGTATTCTAACCCTTGCAGAGCAATGGAGGTAAGTGTGGCAGTAGCTGGTGCACATGAATCTCCTTACTGATCCTCACCCAGTGCCCTGCTCACAAGCACCAAATCAGAGCTGCTGAGGACTAAATAAGTCTCTTGTGGTCCTTGACTGGGAGAGGGGACACCTCTAACAGGGTGAAGTATGTCATAAGAATCATGCAAGAGACTGCCTTGGTAGGGAACAATCCCTACTGTGATCCCTATCCAGTGTCAAGTCTTCTGATGCTTTTCCTTTTTTTGCCTTTACCTTCCTCATACAGAAGCAGAATGTAGAGGGACTGGGCTGTGCAACACTTCTCATATTCTGCATCCATGGAAGAGGTTCTGGAAGTCTTTTCCAGCCAGGGACAATGACAGATTATTGACAATGACCTGACCCCAGTCAAAGGAAGGCAGTGCAAAGTCTCCCCATTCTTCAGCAGGAAGGCATAAGGAGCAGGCCTTAAACCTCTAGCTTGGCATCTAGGGTAGTAAACTTGCAGTAGCAAAGCAGATAATTACACAAATAGGAGACCATTTATTAACAGAAGAACCAGGGTGAACCATTATTTACCTTCTCAGTTTCTATAACCTCATGGTCCTCTTCCAAACAGGACCTAACATCTGGAATGTTTTCTGTCTCTAATCTCTTCTCTTCCTTTTTCTCTTCCTCTCTGGAAACACTTTTTGAAGAAGCAATCCTCAATTCAGACAGTTTCTGTTCTATTTTCTTGCTGAGCCTTTCTTCAGTCAGGCTTGCTCTGGGGCTGAAGGTGCTTTCCTGCTGCACTTTGCACTCTGCAGGCTGTGTGTGTTCCCAGGCTCCAAGGCAGCCCTGGGGAAGCGAGGTGCATCCCCAGCTGCACTTTGCACAGGGATGAGTGGAATACAGAACCTCTGGGCAGCAGCCCAGGCCCAGGTGACCCTGTGTGTAGTGCCCTGAGGCTCTGTAACCTGGGGCCACAAGGTAAGGGTAATCCAAGCTTGAATCCACCACCATCTGCCTGGCTGCTAAGGGCATCTGCAGCTCCAGGATGATGCGTTCGCTCAGGGCCAGGGGAATGCGCAGAGCTTGGGCAGAAGACACCTCCTTAGTCTGCCCATTCCAGAAACTCACAAGCACTCCCCTCTCATTGTGTGCTGTGCATATTGGGGGAAAAAAAAAAAAAAAAGGCAAGTAATGGATTAGCAGCATGTCAATCTGTGTGATTTATCTCATAGAGAGCAGGAGGTAAAAGTAATGACTTGTGTTTCTGTAACAACTTCCATGATTTTATTCTTTACAGGTTTAAAACCTGACTTTTTCCTGAATTTCCTTCAAGGAGACAGTAGATATGAAAAAATCTCACTTGCCACAGCAGGTGAGATTTTACCCTGAAATAGCAGAAAAGCAGACTAACAGATAATCAGGCAACCCTCAGGAGGATCAGGAATGGTTTTTGACTTGTGTTGGCAGGTTGCTATCCCAAACCCCAAACTTTTTAGGAAGTTTTGACCCACAGAACCAAGCAAAGGCAAATTCTGTGATCTGCAATAATTCTGACCCTGAAAAGGTGGCTTAGTGCCAACAATAAAAACAGAATGAAGAGAACCCAAGCAGCAGGAGGTAAATTTTCCATGCTGGAGCTTGATCTCTTCCCTGCAGTGACCACCTCCCGTGGCAAGTCCAGTGCTGCTAAGAAAACCAAAACAGCCAAAGCAGGTACCTAAAGGTGCCTCTGTGTTCTCCACAACCCTCAGCACAGTGCCAGGGCCAAAACGTTTGGCTGGAGCCTCCCATGGTGCCAAGACCCTGTCCCCTGGAGCAAGAGGCTGTCGCCGGGCGTCCTCGTAGTGCACAATGTCATAGAGCGGCGTTTCCTGCTGGCCTCGCTGGGCCCTGCCCTTCAGAGCCCCACTTTGCTCAAACTCAACTAAAAAGCCTTCCCTGGAGCCCTGCAAGAGGAAAACATGTGGTGTGCAAGGCAGTCTGCAAGGTGCAGTTAACAGCAAAGCTTAAGTGCTAAGAGGGAAGAGGCAGAAATCCCAGGAAGTGGAAAGTGATCTGGGAATGCAGCTTTCCTCTTCTACCAAGGTTTCACTGTACTGTGTCCATACCCCTTCAAAAGTAAATAAAAAGCTGGGGCTTAAGGGCTGACAGGTTTTTTCCTCCTTTCACTTTGGAGTTAGATTTTAGTAAGAACACAATCAGCAGGCTAAGGCAGAATCTACCAGGAAAGCCTCCCACAGGAAAAAGAGCAGCCAAAAGAAACTGTGTATGATGCAGTTCACCACAATCAGAAGGATAAAAAACAATCATTCAGCAAACAGAAGGGTAACAAAGCAGTAAAAAGCCACAACTGTCATAAATTTAAATACTTTAATTGGAACCTTCAGCAGCAAGTGAGGGCAAGATCTACTGCCAGAATCTCAGCCTTCTCTGCGGATCTCTGAGTGCACTTACACAAATAATACACAAATAATACACAAATCAGCTCCAACTGATGTCACTTGTGCCTGTAGCTGTCCCAGTCTGTTCTACCCCACACTGAAGCTCACACACATCCTCACCTATATTAGCACCAAAATTTATTTAACTAACCTGCAAAATGAACTGGATTTTAACAAAAAACCTGCAGGGGGGATTTTCTGTCTGGCATCCAAAATCATCTCACAATTCCCAGAAACACAGATGGAAAAGAATGAGGAAAGCTCTCAGTTTGGTAAAGAGGAAGTGGACCCTGGAGACAAACATTTTGGATTACTAGCTGCTCTTTTGCTAACTAACTCTGCTGCTAGGCTGGGCAAAAGCAGACAGTAGGGATAAGGGACCTGTTTTGTCTGTCTCTGAATAAAAACTCATTATAACTACAAAACCAGATTGGTCTCCAGGCTGTTCTTACTTGCAGGACTCCTCACAGCAAACAGCCAGACAGCCCCAGGTAACAGAAGAAAACAGGGTGTGGGAGGCAGCAGTGGCCAGGCATGCACTGTAACACTGGAGGGGCACCCCAACAGCAAGGGTGACTATGGGAAAAACAGAAGAAAAAAACCCATACATGCTCTTCCAGCCATGTTCCCAATCAAGAGTTACCTCCACCTCCTGGACAATGTGGCCCAGGTAGTAACAGCCATCAGTTTCTCTCCTGGCCAGCACACGAGCCCCCCTCAGCACACGGGCAGCCTCCAGGGACAAACCCCTGAAATTCCTTTTGGCTGAGGGTATCAAGGGCATGCAAAAGGGACCTGGGTTCCAGGCACAGACATGACAGCTGTGGAAAATGAAAATACAAGAATTAATGGAAAGCTCAGCAACAGACACTGCAACTTACTGCAGTGCAAACAAATTAAATCAACATGGGACAAAACCCCCACCCTGCAATAACTGTCCTTATTTCCCAGCTTTTCCTTCTCTGCTTTTCCAGTGACCCACCTATAGATTATAAGCTTACTGTGTTACTGGACATCTTGGCAGCAGAGAGCTACAGGAATCTTTATTAGCTGTGTGGCAGCACTGGACATGTGGGATGGATGTGGAGCTTACCTGGAAGGGGGAAGAGGAGATGGAAACAGAAAATGAGCATGATTTTTGAACATTTAAATCCTTAAACAGGAATATTGTCTACAAAGTTGAAATTTACTTTCAGTTTATTACTTCTCTTCATAATTCTTCCTCCATGTCTTGTGGTACTATGCTGCTTATCTGTAAATTCATCACAAATGGTTTTGATTTTGAGAAAAAGTTTGAAAAGGAGGAACATTAAAAAAAAAAACCTGAAGAAGTATATGATAAATCCCCCTTGCACCTGGTTTCTATTCAGCAGCTGGGTGTGTAGCAGGGGTGGGCAGCCAGTGGCCACATGTGCACTGCTGCTGCTGCTGACACAGCTTCCAAGCTCCCCTGGCAAACAAAGCTGAAAGGTCAATGAAAGGATCCGAAGACAGGGCAGAGTGAAGAAAGTGGGAGCTCAATCTAGGGGGACAAATTTGCCTCTGCAGGTCAAAGCCAGCAGTGGAGACATCTGGCCTGAATGAGATGGGAAACATGGGATGCTTGAAACAAGGACACAAGGACAACAGAATGCCAGGGACTCCAAGGCACAAGGACAAAATACAAGGCAGTTGGAAGGCAAAGCTGGCAATAAAATGATGAGCTTTGTATCACATCATTCAGCTTTTATGGAAAAACAAACTCAGTATGGAGCACATTGCAGGGTTGGAACATGTTGCACATCGTAAGTAAAAACTGGCTGAAAAGTTTGCTGCTATTCCTTGTAAACTGCTGCTGAAAATGGCTCAGATGAGCAGGGAAATTAAAATTCCTTAATTGCAAGGCTATCCACTGCTGCTTCAGCTGAGGATGTTAGGTGTTCGGGGTGTTAACAAATGGAGAAGGTATTATTGCTTATTTAAAATACCTCCAGGAGGGTCACAGAAAGTCTTCTTCAGTTCTTTGTGGAGTGTTATCCAATAAAGATTCAGGAGGAACTACAAGTGTGGATTAATCTTACATTGGCATCATACCTTGTCAGGAGGAGTAGGGGTGTGTTGCATTCCTTGAAGGGACCCTCCTGATAGTGTGGGTACTTTCTCCATTATTTTTTGCTTGCTTCTTTTGTGATCACCTCAGTGTCCCATAAGGCATACCAATATGCGTTACTGGATGCAATGGGTTCTCCACAAGAAGTTGGCAGAATTCCTCCAGCCCTTGCTCTGCCATATACCGGTGAACAGATCCACCCACTGGCGGGCTGGGTTTTCCATCCTCCTCAAAGCGCCGCGACTGAAACCGGGCTCAGCTCCAGGAACACTGCTGAGCGAGCAATAGACAGGCCGGCACACCGCTGTAACACCTGTGGGAGAGGGAAAACGGGAGAGAACTAAACTCTCTCAGATGCTCAGGTGGGAATTCTGTACTGGCTATTCTATGCCGAGGGATCATCCCTGTGTTCCCGCTCCGGCTGCCGGCCCAGAGAGCGGGAAGAGGCTCCGCACCAGCGGCTTCCTCCGGGACAGCCCGGC